TCAAGTGGAATAAGCAAAACTAGAAATGAGCCCCAAATTAGCGAAAACTGTCGGATTTGAATCTGTGATCTAGCAAAATTGAGTCTCATGCCTTAACCACTTAGACACGGATGCTTAAATTCCCAATTACTAGCCACCAATAACGCAGCTACATATGCTTATAAATTGCCAAATCAATGCAGCAATTGTAGCACCAAACACAAAAAGACACAATTTGAACGATAATAAATTGGAAAGCATAAAGAGTTCGTAATTGTAGTTTTTTTGGTGTTGACCTTCATCAATAATTTGTCAATGATGTTTCTATCCGAAGTCCAGTGGACTTCGTGGCAATTTTCTGAGTGAGTAGAAAAAAAAAGGTTTGGTCTCATTCCCATATTTGCTCCAACTTGCCAAAAAAGTTATATCAACTTCCTGCCATTTTTGTTCGATTTTTTTTTACCATCTGAAAATTTTGTTGTCTTGAACACTGCTCCATAGACTGCAAAAGGCAGTCGCAACATTCAGGTCTTTGCTCTGGTACGAGCAGTCTGGTATTCTTTTCATATTAGCTTGTGAATTCTAAAATAAGTCGTTTTAACGTACCAGTGGTATCAAAATTATTTATTTTATAAATTTTTCGAGAATTCTTGGTAAAGCTAATTTTATACTCCTTTCAGTTATTATCATGCATGAAATAATCGTCGCCGCAAACATTAACTGGGTTCATTTGGCAAACAAACTGGACGATCTTAAAAAACCGAAATTTATTTTATAACATGAAGTCTACCGCTGAAACTGCGTGAAATTTCAGGCGCTCTACAAAAATAACGAAGTCTGCAATGCGGAGAATTCGGAAAAATGAACTTTTTTTAGGCCGCCTGCATAGCTTTTGATGGATCCTCTGCAATTTGTAGAAACCATAAATATTATGAACTAATTTAAGAAAAAAAAAGACATTTTTATCATTAACTTATGTTTCAGCGGAAAATACCACACAAAATTGAGTGCGACAATTTCTTGATGATTCAACAATCTGGCGTAGTCGAATCGTTGCTGTATTGTCTGAACGCTTCTGGCATGTTGTGGTATTCTGGATTGGAGCTGCAGTCCGCCCAGAGATTCATAGAAGCTTTGAATTAGACGTATTTCAGGTTGCGCAAATTGCCAATATACCAAATTCGAACAGCAGTTCGATTTTTCAAGTTCTGTCAATTGATTCAACAGCTGTAGCGCTTTTTCATCTCTTTGTTCTTGCAAGTCCAAATCTGTCGGTTGGCCTTCAAACAACATCAAGCCACTGAACATTTGTCGCAATGATCGTTGTGATACAGAAAGTTTGATGAAACTAATCAAATACCTGGCTACTCGTTCTGCTGTTATTTTGTCCTCGGTCGTCAATTCTTCTTCTATAAGGCTTTTTAAAGCTCCTAAAAAGCCGGCGCCTGCAGAATGCCACTGCTCGCCAGAGAGCATATCCAATTCAAATTTGGTCAGATTACGATCCATTGTAATCAAACCGGTCAGAAGCTCCTGTCTTTCAATCATCACGGTTATCTCGCCTTCAAATTTTGCCAGGTTGTCTGCTTTTTTTCCATCTTCAATTGTTTCCGATTCAAAATCTTCCGGTTTTTCAGTTTGTTCGTCGACTTTATCAACAATCGCGTTTTTTGCATCTTCAGTAGTCACCGATATAATTTTTTCAAGATTTTTAGTTTGCTGGTCAATTTTTTCTGCAGTTGCATTTTTCACATTTTCAACTGCCTCCTTCAAAATATAAGTTAGAGATTTTTGATTTTTTTTAGAGAACTGTCCCAAAATTGAACTACCGAGGCCAGCAAATGATGTTTTTAGTTTTCCTGTTAATCCAGATTCGTCTGGCAAGAAGTCAAAAATTTTGCCACATGTTTTTGACAGATCACACATCATACCCACTTTCTCTAAGTTAGTTGACTTGTCAAAATTTGAGATCTCGGCAATGTTTTCTTCAAACCCGTCGAGTATCTTCGAGACTATCACTCTGTCTTTTTTCAGCACGCTCTTTCGTTTTCGGTTTTGCGGTTGAACAGTTTCCAGGTCGAATTGAGAGATTAATCGTTCAATTGATTGTCGCTGCATTCGACTGTCAAGACCTACCTTGTGGAGTGTGTCATTCAGACGGTGCAGTTTCTCCCTAATTTCCATCACGGGGTCATCTTGGTCACTTTTTGTCAGGTTTAACTGAGTGACCCTACCAGTGTATTAATGGATCAAGCACTAATCAAGTCCGTTTATGAGGAAAATTCAAGGAAAAAAAACTGTTTGTCATTAGATGAATTTCATTAAGGCCAATTGAAATCATGCTGAATTATAACTAAATCATGCTTCTGTCGGTGAAAGAATCTTACTGAATTGAAAACATGGATCACAAATCTCTTGAAACAAATTTTTTTTGGCTGATGAAATTTGAGATTCATGTTTCTTAAAATACGAGTAAAAGCAAAAATTATATTTTCTTTGTTCCGACTATTAAAAATGAGGAGAAACTTTTGTTTTCGGGTGTGTTCCAGTTTTTTTCCTCGCAGCTAGTTATCGGAAGGGGTCAAGTGATATATTATAATAAAGCCCTTTCAATCGTAATTTGAACGCTTATTTTGCAAAAAAAAGCTTTTCTAATGAAACTTAAAATGTTGTGCAAAAAATTAGCAAAAAATTGTAAAGTTTTTAAAATTTTTTGTTTAGTATTCATTTTTTGAAGACAAATATATATATCGATCATGCCTAATTCACTAATTTTCTATGCGATCTTCTTGTTCTCGGATGACACATTTCACTAAAAATGACACTAATTTGAAAAAAATAGAAAAAAGCAATCGGCTATTTTTTTTCAGTTTAGGGTTTGGCTGGTTTGATTAAACTAACTCTTACCAATTTTGAAACCAGGGACAAAAACACGCTGATGATTCGTTTTAATTCTTGTAAAAGTATACAAAATTTTCCCAGATCAAAGTACAATACCTGAATAAATAATAAGCTTTGGTGCTGAAACTTGACTTGATGCAATACTTGCTTTGCGTTTTTTCTTAAACATAGCCCTAGATCACTATTCGATCAAGGGGCGATAAAAAGAAATATTACTGTAAAGTAAATATCTTCAGGAAATCATAAAAATCGAAATATTGCTCCTATATGTAAAGAATTTCAGAAAATTTGTCGAAGTTAAACCAAAATTTTGCTGTACTGTTTCATCTAAAATGCTGAAACTGTCACAAAATTTGAAAAGATTCTAATAAATTTTTTCATCATTTTGACAAAACTTTGAATTCGCAGTACTTTTTTAAAAGTTATTTTGTTAATTCTAGTTTCGATAGCTTGACTATTCATATTTGCTTCACGAGGGAAGGGGGGCAAGTTGCTTCACAATGCTAATTCACAATTCTCATTAACCTTAAATTTTTCGCTTTTTAACTTGAATATTTTGCCAAAATGATAAATTAATTTATCGGAAACTTCTCAAATTGTGTGGAAGTTTCAGCATTTTAATTGAAACACTGCATCAATACTTTGATTTAAGTTCGACACGTTTTCTGAAACTGTGTTTAAGGGCAAACATTTTTGATTTTCATGATTTCCAGAGGATACTCATTTTTGCAGAGCGCATTAAATTCTGTTTCATAAAATTTCAGATTTGTATCCAGATTTTCCTAAACTTTCTCAAAATTATGATAGCGAAAATTAATTTGGACCAGAGTTCAAGTCAAATTGTATAGTGATTGACCCCCTCAGATAACTCCGAGGATACAAGCAACTTTTTGTCGAAAAAAAAAAACATAAAAAACTCAGCTTCCTTTTCTTAGCATTTTTTTTTCAAATTTCATAAAAATTATGCCAAAATGATCTTCACTTTTAAGCATGCAACGCAATGAGTCAAATTGAATGATAAATTTTTTCGATATTTTCAAAGCAGTCGATAAAAAAATGCGAAGGAAATTCCAAATACCCAAAAAAAATTAGATATTTTAAATTATCAAAGATGTCTTTTATTTGTGGTCTAATTCATTGATATTGGGCAACCAAGCTGCCAAAACTTTTGGAGCTTATAGTCTACCAAGTTGTTCAATTATTTTCAAAATAACAAGAAGAAAAATTCCAACAAAATGGGAAAAATTGATTCAAATTAAGAGTTTTTGCCTAAATTTTGCAATGTTTTATTTTAATAAATTCTTTTGCCTTTTTTTGATATTTTTCTTCTTGAAATTTTTTGAACAACATGTTAACCGTTATTAATGTTTTAGACAACAATTAAAAGACATTTTTTTATAATTTCAAATATTTAATAAGTTTTTATCTGGAATTCCTTTGCATTTTTTATCGACTCCTTTGAATTTAAAAAAAAATGTGATTGAATTTGACTCATTGGGTTGCATGATTAAAATCAAAGTTGATTTCGGCTTAAATTTCACTGATGAAAGAAAAAATCAGACCATTTCTTTCCGTGGCCTTTTTAAAAATTATCTTCAGTACCAAGCCAAACTGTGCACAAGATAGGCGCACAATTTGGTTGTCGTATGTTCCTGAACTCCGGAGACAAGTATTTAAACATGCTAAAATGTTGTCAGAACATTCAAAGGAAATGAAAGAACAAAAGGAGCATTCTTGTTGTTGCGGAATCCGCTTACATTTCCAAAAAAGCAGTTTGGCACCGTAATGTTTTTAAATTTAAATCACACCTGGATGGACTTTAACATGATCCCACGCTTTGCTAGCTCAGGACTTGTTTTAAATACTGAATACGCAATACAAAAAGTTATCTTTTTGTTCTTTCTAGATATTTAAAAAAACTCAATTTTACGTGATCCATTATTACCCAGATTGTTCTTCGGCAGCCGAAATTTCTCGTCCAGGATCAGCATCCACGACAATTGTCATGAATGCAATTAGAAGAACCATCAGCAACATCGTGGCCCTTTTGAAGAAAAAAATCAGTGATGTCTGTTTTTTGATGCTAATCAATATGACAGAATTTAACCAATGAATCAATTCATTTTGCTTCAATTTTTTTTTATTTTTGTGCAGTTTTGCTGAATTATTTGTACGTTGCGTTAGACTCAATACTTTTTTTTTAAATTAATAGAAAGTTTGTTCTATAAATAGGGTTGCCACAATCCCTTTGCTGTTAAACGATTCATGAAACAACTCAAGAAATAAAATAAATCAATTTAAAACGAGCATCACTGAATCACTGCTTAAGTGTTGATCAAAAAGTTCTGATTGCAAAATAAAAACAGACGATTTCCTAGTCATTTTCTTCGCTGTTTTGTTTCCCTATTTTTTCTGCTAATGACAATGACTGAGATGTGATTTTGAAAAGTTTTTATAAATTTTTTTTACCACTGAGAACTGACCTTGGCTACAAAATAGCGAAGGAAAAATAAGTTAGTGGGCAAATACCTGGATGGAGATTTGGTTTTCGAATGAGAAAATTGAAGAAACAGAGTCGAACAAGATGAAGAAATTGTGTTATCGCAGAGCAAATAATTCAAATGGGGAAAAACAAGATCCGAAACGGGATTATGAACAACCACCATCTACCTGTGCGAGCAGTCTAATCTTTGCAAAAGATTGGATAGTTCTTTATATTTGAGTCCAATATTGAATCGTGGTGCCAAACCCACTAGCCTCGAATTTTATCGACAACAAATCGGTGTCAATTATAATATTCTGAGAAGGCCGCAAGTCAATTTGACCAAGATAGGGTAATTCTGTCAATTTGCAATTAAGGTTGATTTTGGTCTTTCTTTCGGGGCAAAGATTACAACGTCAGAATAAACTAGCTGGTCTAGCTTTTCGAGCGACTAAATTTTTAGAGAAACAAATTCCAATCCGCAAATCAATTTGACCAAGGTAGTGTTATTCCTGTCAAGAATTGATGATAAGGTTTGCCTGATTTGATGTTTACGCTTGACTTCTTGTCTGGTTTAGGTCCAGTTTTACCTCGTCACGCAGTTTAATTTCCCAGGCTGACCGCAATGCACCAAAACTGCTAGTCATACAATACCCTACATGGAGATGATGAAAGATGCCAGTCATACAATTTTCATACATGTGGAAATTGTCTGACAAATATTTTTTGGGACAAATAAAAATTATGATCAATCAAAATTTCAAAGAAACCTCAACAAATTTGGTATCAAACTTCGAAACTCCAAACTTTTCCTTAGTTTCAATTCTATGTATGATTAAGTATACTAGTGTGTTTGTTTCTAGACTCAACAACCCTGGATAACGGACACCTGGATAGGTCAGAGCGACATTTCAAGTCTCATAGGAATACAATTCACTAGTATGTCAGAATTTGAGTCATACAATTCCCACTATAGAAGATAACTATTCATAAAGTTTCCATGATATTTTTCAAATGTTTGGGCCATATATGAGAATTGTATTAGAATTTCCACCATTCTGGATTTTATGAACTTAAAATATATCCTTAAGTTGAATTCCGGTGCTTCCGAGAAAATTAAGTATATGACTCAAGTCCATCCACTTTTCACCTTGCACATTTCTCTTATGCTCCAACCAAATATTAAACAAATTACCACACACTTAGGTTTTTTCTTAACTCAAAGCTATATACACATGTTTACTAGGCTACTTGAATAGAAATAATCCTGAGTAGAAAAAACTAGTAATTGACATCGCATATATTTTGCAGACAATTCAGTCAGTTTTCAAAAAGGTTAGATTAAAAAACTCGAAATTGGAGTTAATTCTCGGTTTAGGGTCGCTGGTGAGCGCGCTACGCGTGAATTATCGCGATAACCGGCTCTAAGTTTTGCAAACAATCATAAGCTCGCAACACATTGGCAAGCTCGCACGCAACACGCAATTGGAAGCTCGCAACACATAGGCGCGACTGCAGCGGTCACTATCAAAAATTTCTAATAAGAAAAAATTCTAATATTTGCAATATTGGTTGAATTGTCGGTATATTTGTGGCTGAATTTTATATCGGTCCAAAGTCAAAGGAAAAACAGCCATTTTTTCTGGAAAGATTGTGAGATATCAGTGAAAAACCGATCAAACCAGCTTTTTTCAACGCAGAATGTTTTGCAGTCAATACTTGATGCGGGCAAAAACTTCTCGTATCAAGGCGAAGCCCTCAATGCTCTGACTGCTTTTTAAAGTCTATGGAGCAGTAATAGCATGAATAAATTGAATGTAATAAAATTAAAATGAAATTTTTTGGAGATTTTTTGTGAAAATCACCCCCCACACGCCATATAAAGTAACAAGTGATAAACTTCCCTGCTAGTACTAAAGCAATGATAGCAAATAAGCTTCCTTCAACCAATTTGGAACGATTTCTAAGACGGATTAAATCTCCGCTTACGCTTACGAGTTATTTAAAAAAATCCAGTCAAAAATGGCCGGTTAAAAAGTCGAAATTCCCTGAAAAAAAAAACTACCCAGCGCACAAATATTCCGTTACTTTCGTTACAAAAGTCGGAAAAATGAAAATTATGAAAAGCGGAATTACAAACAAACATTTTTACCAGAAAGTTGCGCAGCTAGTCTACCTTTTGTGCGAAAAGAGTTCATTAGCACTTTCATTGGCAAATTCGCCGTCTTAATCATGGAATGGTGTTTATTACTAACTAGTCTCTTTAGTTTTACTTATAAATCTATGCAGAAGTGCCATTTTTATTCCCTGCTAAGAGAATGAAGAACAAATCAAATTCTGCAAAAATAATTGGGCTTAATTTTAAGCACTTTGGGAAACCAAGAGAGAAAGTATCATCTGTTTTAAAGGATTCTTCATTTCCAATAACACAGCCGCGTTAATAATTTAGCAGTTTATTTGCGCAAAAATTATTTCAAATTTCAGTGAAGCCGGAACAATCCAAGGCAGCAATGATAGCACTTTTATGAAGCGCGATATAAAAGATGCCTATAAAAATGGTAAAATGAAATAAAAGTTTTTTATGACGTTTCGCTCATTATTGAGGCGCTTTTTATAGCGCAAAAAAAAACAATTGTATCAATGTATCATGCGGTTGTCTACTAAACAAGGACATCACAATTTTAACTAACACAAACATAGCCAAACACAGAAAACAAAAGGTTGGTTGAATATTTTTCATCTTTCGAGTTTCGAAGAAACAAATATATCACGTTAAAAATCTTTGAAATTCAAGAATTGTTTATGATTGACGCTTTTTTGAATATGATTGACGCTTTTTTGAATATGATTGACGCTTTTTTGAATATGATTGACGCTTTTTTGAATATGATTGAAGCATTTTTGAAACTAAAAACCGTTCAAGTTTTCATGACCTTGACATTTTTGCTGTTCGATTGTGAACTATGTCTTCTTTTCAAACTGGAGAAAATCAAAATTGAGCTTAAACAAATTTTAAGATTTCCTGAAAACACTATCAGGACCTATATAAGTGACAATCACTTCGTTCTTTTACAGAATCACATTAGCTTCAGTTATCATAATATGCAAACGCGAGTTTCTTTTTCGCCCGCCAAGAGAATGAAGAAATATTCAATTCAAATTGTGCAAATATAGATAAACAAGATTTAAAGCAAAAAAATATCAAGTGAGAAAATATGATCTGCGAGTTCATACGAGCAATTAGTTAGAATCCCATGAAGTGGTCTATGATGGCAGAAAAGGCGGCGAATCCGGCTGCCCCGAAAACAGCGGGCTTCACCCCTCCTCTCAGTCCAATGAGACCGCCTGTGATAGCACCAGCATACACTCTGTTTTTCATACCTAAACAAAAAGACAATTTACAGACTAAGAGGAGCTTCACTTCACTTGCGATGCAAAATCATAAGTAAGTATTAAAAAGTTTTTAAAAGGAGGATAGTTTTTAAAGCAGAACAATTGAAGAAACGGTATGTTGAGCTTTACTACTAAATCAAGTAACTATTATGTAGAACTAACCCAAATGCTGAAAACCCAATTTCGTGGCAAACACAATTTAAAGTTGGCAAATATATCGAAGTTGTTACTGCAACAATTTTTTAAAACGAGAGCACGAAAACAATTTCAAAGGCTTCCGGAAATAGTTTCAAGGATATTGACAGTGTTGAGCGTTCTCAAACCTAGTATGCATCGACCGAAAATGAAAAAAAAAACTATTCAACTTATTCAAAATTATCGAAACTTCGCTTGAAAAAACCAACAATTAAGCCGAGAAATTTTTGACAGACGCTCTATCGAAAGACACGTTGAAAAGTACTACTTGGATACCAAGATGGTAAATTGATATCTATAGGGGAAGGGTGACTAAAAGAAAGCTTAAAGCAAGGACGGATATAGGATTTTATCGAAAGGGGGGCTAGATTTTCTTTGAATGTTCAAAAACTTTGACGAATTTTTTAGGCCGACCAAGTTCTTCCCGATCACTATAAAAACCCTTCAAACTTATTATATATTGGCACCGAAGACGTCTTTATGACACCCATTTTCGGCCGACCACCCCTAAATTTTTTTCTAAAATAATACTAAAGGGGGCCCTTTGATTGGACAGAGCACAGAGGGGCTTCCGCAACCCCCTCCCCCTAAATCCCGTTTGACCAGTCCTTTATTACTATCTCGCCTTCCGAAGAAATATTGATCCAGTTTTATTGTAAAAAAGTTTCATTTTCATTTTTCCTCATTTAGTGGGTTATAACCGAAAAGATTCGGCAAATCTGCACTTCACAAGCAAAAGCAAAATAGAATGGGAAAAATTATTGAGTTTTAATAAATCGAGGATAAAAAATTGGTGGATAAAAACCACAACCGGAGGCTTCATAGGCGAACACTTTTCCACCACAAAATTAAGTCCTATCTATACTCTTTTACAGATGCCTAATTCAAAACTCACTTTTTGTTCAACGGATGACGCGCATGCTTGTTGAATAACGCAGAAACAACTACAGCACAGTCTAGGGCATTTTACATTGAAAACATAGCCAACGGACAGTTGGAAAAGAGTCATTGCACGCAAGTAAAAGAGAAAAAAATACTGTCTTGTTTTATTTGAGAAAAGCTTAACTTTCGAATTTCGAAACAAAAGATGGTCTTAAAGCTCTAAGAGTTTCTTGATTTTTAATGCTTGAAACTTTTTTGAGAAAATTAACCCAATTTAAGAAAATTGGATCAATAGGTAAGTTTTTTAATCCACTGCGAAAACTTATAACTAAACTCCACTTCTGAAACCAAGTTTTTCGTGGCCTGACACTCTTGCTGTTCGATAGTAGAGTTTGCTTTCCTTTTAAGGAAATAAATAAACTGCAACTAAAAAGAAATCAAAACTCAAAATCCGGAAAAAGTAAATTTTAATAAAAAAAAAAACGAAAAGAAATCTCATCTTTATTTATATAAGAGTCTGAACTACGTTCATCGACTCTTAAAGAGTCGCGTCGTAATAGCATATCTCATTTTAAAACCGCTGGTAACAAAGTAAGTAAGTCTAAGACCTGGTTAAAATTCGTTTGCTTATCGCAAGAGTTAAGCTTGCGAATCGCAAGGGTTAAACTATAAAATGATTAAGCTTTTGTACCTCTTTCTGTTAGCGATTGAGAAGAAAAATTTACCTGAACTGCCCAAGTATGTGTCAATTAGACACTCTGTGACTGAGAACATGCACCCTATCTGTCCGAAGTTCTTGCCCATTGAGGTCGTCTTCTGGTATCCTTCTTTGAACACTTCGCGGGTGCGTTGGGGTTGCAGATTGGTTTGCGTGGGGTCTTGAATTGCGAAGGAAAAGAGTCCAAAGAATGCCCCAAATCCGAATCCCACTACGCCTAAACACGATTCGGAAATCACTATGTCAAGTGTTATCAAACGTCGCTTGTGACGCATCGGTAGTGATGGCGCCCATCAATCAGATGATTGCGGGTTCAAATCGCACGTGCGCTGCAATTAACAAGGTGAGCTCTAGTAAGATAGCCATAGCTTAGTTAACCTTAATTAATTAACCTTCGGGCTAAGCCTCTGGCTGGTCAACAGAAATAATAATTTCTATCACTATTAAATGAACTCAAGCTCAGGTATTTCGTCACATACTCCGTTATATTTGCTCTTCTAAGTAATGATAAAAAATACAAACTGGACAAAAGCGTGCCCAGGGGACTGGGAAGTGATTGCCCTCTCAATTAAGATAGAAACTTTTTCCAAATATTCCCCCTTTGGTACTCTTTTACGTAAAACCACTGACTGACAACCCTGAAAAAATATTGGAAGCGCATTTGACCCTAAAATATACTAATTTTGAACGAAAAGCGCTGAGTCTAGTAATGATTTCAATCTAAGTATTCACTTTAATTAGTTCAAATAAAAAAGAATTATAAAAACATGAAGCCAATGAACAGTTGGAAAATGTCATTGAACTCAAAGAAACCAAAAAAAAATAATAATTAAGTTTTTCATTCATAAAAAAACTATATTACCTCAGAATTCTTTCTATAACAAAAACAATTTATGATTGACATTTTTTTGATAAAATAATCCAATTTAAAAATAAAAGGTAATATTTTATTCCGCGCTGAAACTAAAAGTTGATACTATTTTTTGCGCAACTTCCACTTTCGTAACTGGAGAGCATAATTTGCCTTTTATTTGGCAAATGAATTTGAGCTCAACTAACAACAAAAATCAACACAGAAGCGAAGCGGAGCAGAAAAAAAAGGCAATCAAAAAAATTCTCAAAAATTTTGTTTGAAAAAAATTACTTCACATAACTTGAAAAATTACAGCTACATTAACTTCATGTTTGTATCGGATTAAATTCATAAAAAGCCCTGAAAAAACAAAAATCAATTACCGAGCGCCAACAAAGGCGACAAACTTTGGGTCGAAACAGGGCTGTCATGTTATTAACAAGGTGTTATTAACAGACCTATATTTAACATGTTAATAACACCTATTGGTACCATTGTTTTTAACACATGATGTACTAACAGCATGCGTCATACACTAACAAATATTTATTTCAGATTGTGTCATGCCGCGGCAGAAGAAAGACGTGTGGTACAGCTTCAAAGAGATTATCGTTGGCGGCGTTAAACGGGCCAAATGCAAGACCTGCGGTTTTGAGGTTGTGAACAATGCGGCACGCATGGAGAAGCACATGAGGGATTGCCGGAATGTGGACGATGACGATGACATCCAGGAGCAATCCACATCTTCTGCCACTACAACATCATCTGCTCCGCCGGCTCCAAAGAAGAGACAGACAGCTCTCAATGTCATCTCCACTAATCCCACGAGGCAGCATGAGAGCGATATCCTTGTGACTCGATATTTCATCGCAACCAACACTCCGTTTAATGCCGCGTCAAACAAGCATCTCGCGAAGCTTGTCCAATTTCTGCGACCAGGAACAACTGTTCCAGATCGCCGAAGGATTGGTGGAGAGTTACTGGACGAAATTTATGCAAGTGAACAAACGAAAGTGAAGCGAATGGTGTCGGGCTCCAACGTCACACTTGCTATCGATGGTTGGTCGACATTGACCAATGAACCTGTTCTCGGTGTCAGCTTTTATCATTGTGGCAAATGTTATCTAGTGAACACGATGAGTACTATTGGAGAAAGTCACACAACAGAATATCTTGTTCAAGTCACGCGTGAGCAGATGGAGCATGTCAGGAAGGAGTTCGAGGTCAATGTGACTAGCGTTGTCACGGATAATGCAGCGAACATGAATGCAATGCGCAGAGAATTAGCACTTGTTCACACTTATGGGTGTCACTCGCACATCGCCAACTTACTTTCCAAAGACATTCTCTGTCAGAAAGATATCAAGCCAATTATGACAAAGATCATCACTGTCCTCAAATGGGTTCGCAATACCCATGCATGTTCTGCAGACCTTGTGGAGAACAACATGACTCGACCTCCATTACCTTGCGAAACTCGCTGGAACAGCAATATCGACACAATCGAATACTTCCAGAAGAACTGGCTTATGCTTGCAGAAATAGCGAACAAGCATCTGAAGAATACCGACATGGTATTTCGTCATATGGAAGAAGTATCTCTGAAGAGATCTGCAGAAGATATTCTTCAGTTCATGAAATCAGTCGGGGTTACGTTGGACAATTTGCAGAAAAATTCTTGCACTTTGTCGGAAACATTCAAGCTCTGGAAAAATGTTGCCGGACAAGCACCAATTCAGTATGCAAGTGCCGTCGCTAAGCGAGTTCAGCAGGCCATTCTACCCGTCGTCCTAGCGGCTAATTTGCTCGATCACAAGTATGCCGGAGAGGACCAGAATCCGGATGAAACAAGACAAGCCATCGACTACATCCGTGAAACGGCTGGTGAAAATATCATGCCGGAGCTCACAAATTACATGGCAAAAGTTCCTCCCTATAACGAATACCTTTTTGCTGAGGGTTACAAAAAGGTCGAGAGTGAAGCTTGGTGGAGAAGTGGACTTCGACTGGGATTCTCGAAAGAATTGGTCGACTATGCATCGACACTGGCCAATGCTATCTCCTCCAGTGCAGGATTGGAGCGGTGTTTCTCAACTCTCGGACTCACTTATGGAAAACTCCGAAGTTCTTTGGGCGTCGAGAAGGCTGGAAAGCTGGCTTTTCTCTTTAAACAACTCAATGAGTGATTTTAAAACTCAATTTTGTTTTTAACGTGTTTTTTTCATATAATTAACATGTTAAAAACGTTTTAGTTAACAATATGACAGCCCTGGGTCGAAACCTGTTGAGCCGAAAACAAATCTGTTGTCATGAAAAAAAATTATAAGTTTTTACCACCCATCCAAACTGAAACAGATAATCCGAAACTGATATATTTTGCCCACCAAAATACGCAAGTTGACTAAGTCGATATAACATAAACTAAAACTGTTTGAATATTTAAAAACGAAAAATCAAATTAAAAAAAACTCAAAATCAGACATGGTAAAGTTACAACTTAGTGAAGTTTCAATTATAGTAAAAACTGTTTAAATTGGAAAAAACCATGCTTCAAAAAATAAATCTAAAAAACCCTACCAGGTAAAAAAAAATGGCGTTTAAAAACACGGATCATGAACCGACAGAAACTAGGACCAAAACCCCAAATTCGAAAACAAATGAGTTTTTTTTGAAAAGATAGTTACAACCTGAAACGGACTTGAACGAATTACAACATAAATGATAAGAATAGAAAGTTAAAATTTTTCTTAAGAAGTTAAGATCCTCCAGAAGTGTTCCTGTGGACAAATTTGTTTACGGGGAAAAAGTCTAGTACCCGGTTGCAATACCCTTACTAATCGCAAAGGTAAAAACCAAACAAAAACTCGAACAACTTTTAAGACCTCCGAAAACTAACTAACAAAAACTTTGATGCCGAACTTTCAAAGAACGAAATTACGACTCAATTCAAGGTTTTAATCGTTCGTTTTTAATTGATGAAGGTAAGTTTTTTTGTTAGTTAGACAACTTAAAACGAAAATCAAAAACTTAATTAAGTGTTAATTTCGTTCATCGAAAGTTTATTTATGATTCGGCACCAGTCTCTCGACTGACCTGCTTGTGCGGCCTTGAACGGACATGACATCATCATCTCGTTCACTTTGAATTGCATAGGGTGCAGGGGTGTGTGACCCAACTTGGTGGGCAACTGGTCCCACGTGACCCGAGGTCCATTCTCCCTCCTCTTAGCCCACACGTCCATCAGGGCATTGAATGTCACCACTTTGGGCGGAGAGGGAGAATTTTTATCTGAACTCATACTTGTTCTGCTTCAGATCACAGAGCAGCACAAAAATTTGCCAAATAAGCAGGCGAATGGAGACAGCTCATTTCAGCTAGCACGAACGCATACCTGGTCTAAAAATAAATTGAGTTGCTCTTCGTTTAAAAAAATTATCGGCCCGGGAATTTTAAAAGACCTCATCTGAAGATATGAGCAATTAAATCTCCTACTTCCTCTGTCATATAACTTCCCGAAACCTAAAGCGTTCAGTTCTTTGTCTCCGATTTTTATCGTCACTTTTCACCTAGCCTATTTTTATTCTTAAGTAATTTCCATTTAAAATTTTTTTCCAGTGAAGTTAAAGCGACCATTCAAAACAGTCATTAAACTCTCTGAATTGAAACAAATGAAAGAAAAATAACTATTTCTTTAGATTTTTAATAATATATTAAATTATATGCTTATCTCGCAATTTGCAACCTAAAGCCCACTCAATTACAAGTTTTCGTTTCACTGTTCATGCTCAATTTTGGAGCTCAGGTTGATTTTGAAAATTGGTTTAATTCGAGAGTTATTCACACCATTTTTTCTCGGTACAGAGCTCCTGATTCGCGACTGAGGTCTTTAACCTAAAAATATTATATTTAATCTGATACCTTGCTCAATTTATTTGGGTGTTCTGAAACATCGACATAAAAAGAACAGGTACGTCAAAATAATACCTTCTCGTCCATCCAAAAATTAGAAAAAAAAACGCTTTGAAAGGTCAAAGATATACGTTCAGTGGAGCTTTTAAAGCAGGGACAAAATGTCATCGCGTCTACAAAAACCATTTCTTCATTTCAAAAAAATCTCAACACTGTAGACAGAATTACTCTTGTTGAATGTTGAACCAATTGCGCTGTCAGTACAACTCAATATTTTTCATTGTTTGTGAAAGCGTTTTTTGGTGACATGAACAAAGCTGTGTTCAAAAAATAAACAAAATAATACTAACTTATATCAACCATTTAAATTAAGAAATAGGAAAACCAAAGTGAAGATTTTGAATTGAGTCCTAATTCATTTTGCGCTTTCTGCTTTGTCGAGTGGTATAAAATATGAGAAATTCAATCAAAATTCCTCTGAAAACAAAACTCCTCTGTCAGTACAACTCAATATTTTTCATTGTTTGTGAAAGCGTTTTTTGGTGACATGAACAAAGCTGTGTTCAAAAATAAACAAAATAATACTAACTTATATCAACAAATTAAATTAAGAAATTGGAAAATCAAAGTGAAGATTTTGAATTGAGTCCTAATTCATTTTGCGCTTTCTGCTCTGTCGAGTGGTATAAAATATGAGAAATTCAATCAAAATTCCTCTGAAAACAAAACAACCCAATTGTATACGAATAACCAATCTCGGTTCCCGTTGGAGAAGAAAAACTGACCCTGAAACTTTCTGTGGAAAAATAACACATCATGCCGAGTGGTATGAAAAGATTTGCTTCAGCCATTGAATCACCCTAACCTACTTTTCATGCTCCGTCGTCTATGTCGCCTCCTGAATTCACCACATATATTAACTAGGTAACAAAAAGACTGATAAAAGCTATCTTCACTACAAAACCGAGATATTAGCTGAAAAAACATGTCATAAAAGGAGTCAACAATGTGCCAGTCGGTCATGTCTGGGGGTTTGACCTTGAGAAATACGCAATTTTGGAGTGAAATTTTAATTTTGCAAAATTCGAATTGAGCATGTCATGCTCAGTTTTCTCGAACCAACTGAAAATGAAAAAGTCAGAAATGAGAACACCCGAATTAACAAGAGCGGGAAACTACTCAAGAAAAAGGCAGGAAATTGCTGTTCGCAATTTCTCGATACGAAATATCAAGAGAGTAGAGCTGTCTTATCCCGAAAACAGGAGAAAACAACATTGACTTGAGGAAGGATCACTATTCGAATGGAATAGTGTGGACCTTCAACGGAATAGAGGACTACTCGAGTGTCCTAATGGTCCAAACGAAAACTTCAATTCTTGAGACAGAACTTACTTTCATTATTGAAACTAATTGGCCTTAAAACTTATTTAGTTATATTAGTTAATTCTCAAGCTGCTCATCTTTAACTCACTCCTCATACTCAAGTGCGTCGATATGTAAGTTCCAATTTAAATTTCTCGAGTGCATTTTATGATAGTTATGTTGAGATAAGGCGAGTTTTAGGTTGATCCATCTGAAATGGATCAAAGTTCCACTGTCCAATAAAAAGTAACTAAGCGGATGGTTCCGACCCGGTTTTTAATGGCGTTCATGTATTTTGGGTATTCCGAGACCTAAGTATGGGGACGTTTCTATTTCTAGAGTGGGGGGGTATTTTGGTAGTGACCTTTAAGCTGTAATGGGTTCCAGTCTCATGTCGCAAGCGAACCGAATTGGCTCCGACCGTTCTTGAGGCGGAAAAACACAAGAGATAGTGTCCCTGACTCTTGAGCCAATGGTTATAGGGCCTATTTTTCTTAAGCCTCATATGTGACTAAAGTAGGCGACTGTTACATAGTGTTTTTATGGCGCTCCTGGGTGTTTTTACGACATCATGACTACGGAGTCGAACCCACTTGACACAGCTCCGGGCTACATGCCCATTCTAGAGTACCGGTGGTACGGTTCAGCGGGAACGTGTAAACCTTCCGGTTGTACCGTGATAGCTTTTTAAGAAAACTCAAGAAAACTTCCTGGTACGCTCTCCGAACGAGGCTTAGCTAACCGAGTAAAGGGGGGCAACTAAGGGGACAAAAACACGAGCAAAAAAGGAAAACAAATAGGAACAAAAACTATAAAACGAAAAAAGACAGTGACTTTGATACCAAATTAGTTGGATCGAACCTTTGTATTAATTAAATAGTATACACATACTGTTTTACAAGACCGATCGTTTCGATCAATCTAGCAATTTTTCGATCAACTAGCAGTGACCTTGGTAGGGTGCCCGAGTGGGGGGCGTTGTTAAGGGTTTTTAGATAGATTGCGACCCAACCGGACCACTAGGAGACTTGACTGGAAAGGGTGACCAGTCGAGTGGGAAAGAGGTTCACAAGGATCGAAACGGACCACCAAGAGACTTGATTGGAAGAGGTGACCAGTCGAGTGGGAAAGTGGGTCTGCTGTCAAGGGCAGAACAGAGACAACCAGCACAGGGCCACCACAAGAGGACGCACAAGGGTGTTCTCAGGTCGGACAACGGGTATCGTTAGAATCCACATTACATTATAAGAAATAAGTGTAAAATTGGATAAGCGGAGTCCCATTGTTTTGAGGCAGTTTTTACTCAAGCAGACCTGGAAACAGGTCTACGGTTTTCTCAAGAGAGGTTTAGCACCCGGCGCTTAAGGGATTTTTCGGCTTAAGAGGGGGGCTAAACAGGGGGGAGGTTAGCAGGGGGACTGGTTAAGTTAGAGGTTGGCGATTGTAAATTGTAAAAAGGGGGGAATTAGAGTAACTAGTTAATCGACATCGTTGATTTAGTTACATTAGCCATCAACACGCGTGGTAACAATAGGTGGACATCCAAAACTTATCTCGAGTTAAGATTGGTACGCTGGTTGGATCGGTAGGGGGGAACGGATATAGACAGTTTTCGTGACACCTCATAAGACGACTAGTGGGGGGAGGAAAACGCGTGGCAATTAGGTACCAGACATTTTTTTTGAAAGAAGGTTGACATTTGTCTCCTTTGAATTTTAGGTGGGTCGATTACTCTGTTTTGTTATTTTTTCGGTACAGAATTTTATTTTTTCTATAGACATTGTTGCGTTTTGGGGAAGATTTGCGATTGTTTTTTAATACAAACAGGTGATCACAAGATACCTGCACACAAGTTGTGGCTCCCAATTGCTGGGAACATTCAAAAAGAGGTAACTAAAAAAGGGGGGCCAGATTTGGCAACCAAGAGAGGGTTTTTGGGAAAATTTTCACTAGAGCTTGAGTGGTGGTACAAGGTACAGACAACCAAGGAGTCCCTACAACGAAGAAGAAAGAAATCCTATATCCAGACACTCAGTAACGAGTCTTGGGACAGTACCGAACTAGTCTAGGGACATTGCAGTCTGGGGACAGTCTTGGAGCAACACAGTCTTGGGACAGTGCAACTTTGGGGCAGTCTTGGACCAGAGCAGTCTTGGTACGAAGCGGTCTTGGGACATTGGTCTTGGGACATTGGTCTTGGGACGTTAGTCTTGGGACATTAGTCTTGGGCCATTGGTCTTGGGACGTTAGTCTTGGGACATTGGTCTTGGGCCATTGGTCTTGGGACGTTAGTCTTGGGACATTGGTCTTGGGCCATTGGTCTTGGGGCGTTAGTCTTGGGACATAGGTCTTGGGACATTGGTCTTGGGACATTGGTCTTGGGACATTGGTCTTGGGACGTTAGTCTTGGGACATTAGTCTTGGGCCATTGGTCTTGGGACGTTAGTCTTGGGACATTGGTCTTGGGCCATTGGTCTTGGGACGTTAGTCTTGGGACGTTGGTCTTGGGCCATTAGTCTTGGGACGTTGGTCTTGGGCCATTGGTCTTGGGACGTTAGTCTTGGGACATTGGTCTTGGGACGATTAGTCTTGGGACATTGGTCTTGGGACGTTAGTCTTGGGACGTTGGTCTTGGGACGTTAGCCTTGGGCCATTGGTCTTGGGACGCTGGTCTAAAGGTACCAACGAGAAGTACTGGGACAACGCTGAACGGTCTTGGGACGGTAAAGAGAAAGTCTTGGAACAGCATTAGGAAGGGGGTACTACAAAAGTAATAGGTTAGGTTGAAGCACCAAGTATAACAACACGTTCAACACGTTCCCTATCCTAACCTAACACGAAAGAGCTTACAAGAGTTCAAGAAAAATTGTTTTTAGCGAATTATTAATTTCTTTTTCCTTGGAGTTTTTAAACCTTAGAATAGAATTTTTGTAGATAATAATATTGTAAATAATAACAATTGTAAATAATGAGGCGGAGCAGGGTACCGGTAGCTGAAAAAAGATCGACCGAAGCAAAGTATAATTCGTCGCTAAGCAAAGCAACACCAATGGGTCCGAAGATAACAAAGAAGAACTTTTCAGTTAACATGGTCAGCACAAGGAGTACAGCGGAGAACAGGGC